ATAATATCATTGACGTGAGGGGTGCCTGGGTAGCTCAGTTGGTTAAGTGTCTGCATTTGGCTCAGATCATGATCCCAGGGCTCTGGAATTGAGCTGCATCAGGCTCCCTGCTCAGCAGGGAGTCAGCTTCTCACGCTCTCCCTCTGCCTCTCCTCCCGCTCGTATTCTTTCAAATAAATAAAATTTTAAAGTAAAGATAATCACAGTCTTACACTCAAAAGACCTTCAGAACATAATTTAGGTTGATGAGTAGATTTTTTTTTTAAAGATGTTATTTATTCATTTGATAGACAGAGATCACAAGTAGGCAGAGAGGCCAGGCAGAGAGAGAGGAGGAAGCAGGCTCCCTGCTGAACAGAGAGCCCAATGTGGGGCTCGATCTCAGGACCCTGGGATCATGACCTGAGCCGAAGGCAGAGGCTTTAACCCACTGAGCCACCCAGGCGCTCCAATGTTTTTTTTAATATTTTATTTTTAAATAATCTCCACACCCAACTCAGGACTTGAATTCACAGCCCCAAGATCAAGACCTGCATGCTCTACCAACTGAGCCAGCCAAGTGCTCCCAGTCTTTGTAATCTTTTACAGTTGAGCATTTGTTAGTGAAAACTGTATAACATAATCTGTAAATTCACTTAGCCAGGTACATATGAATTGCCAAACCTTGTAATATGGTAATTAGTATTAAACGTGAACGTGCCAGTTGCTAACTTTCCCTGTACTTTGTGGTCCTTTCTTTCCTCAGGCCAGCTTGCTAGCCACTGATCACCTAATTCTAAGTGTTCTTATAACCTAATTGCTTTATTTTTTTTTTTTTTGCAAAAAAAAAAAAAAAAATAGGAGTTCTAATAATTTCTGTATACTTTCCCATAGACCATTTTGTGCTGCTCCTTTAGGTACTTGTAGGCCATTTTGGGACACAGTTACACAACTAAATTTTTTACAATTTGTTTTCTACTATCAGAAATCTTCCTAAGATCATCAAAAACCTCCATGCTGCCAAATTTAATGTACTTTTTTTCAGTTCATTTCTACTTAACTGTTCATCATCTTTAGCTCAATCATTTCTTGGTTTTTCTTCTACCATAATTGGTTCAGCCACTGACCTAGTTAGTTGCTCACTCAAAATCCACAGATCATTACTAATATATTTTCCTACTTTTCCAGCTGCCCCCTGACTCCACCGTTCAGTCACCAAGACTTGCTGATCCTATTTCCTAAGTTCTTTTTATTCACTTTACTCCTACTAAAGCCACCAGCTCTTTCAGAGTTCTGCAGTAGGCCCCCCTTGGATCATCTGTAACCTCCTTTCTCAATATTGAGCTAGAGTGATATTCTGAAGATGTAAATCTGATGGTTTTACTCCCTTGCTTAAAAGTCTTGAATAGGATCCCATTACAATGGAGGTTGACCAGAAAGATAGCTGCTTATTAACTCCGCTTCATCCTCAGCATTCTCCACCATTCCCCCTTGGTTTTCCATGCTCTCAACACCCTGAATTGTCTCTGATCCTACATAATTTCCTGAACATATCCCCACAGACACACTCCCCAGCTACCTATATGCTGTTCCTTCCAATAGGATTCACCTTTTCCCTTTCCTATTAGCTTCTCATCCTTAGTACTTAACCACAAATACGAGCAATACCATTTTTTCAGGGAGTTCTAGGTTCAGAACCCTGTTGTACAGTGTCACTATCTTCTGTATTTGCTTACTCTTCTTACACCTATTTTAAATTGACTAACTTACCATTATATTCCCGGTACCTAGCAAATAATAAAGGTGCATTAAATATTTGAGTAAATGAACATTGTTGTACCAGTATTAGTTTCTGTATCGATAGACTGCTTCGTGAGGATAATATCCTTGACTGTTTTGGTCTCCATTATTTTTCCAGTATGTAACATATACACACATTTATACACAAATATTTGTTGACTTAATATGGTGGTTTTGTCATTATTTAATACCTTTCCTCTCTCTTAGACAATAAAGTGATATCTGTCTTAGGCACCCATCCCCAATGCTTTAAAAAGTCCTGGATAATAAGAGACTCTTAATGTCACAAAACAAACTGAGGGGGGCCGGGGGGAGGGGGATAGGGAGAGGGTGGTGGGGTTATGGACATTGGGGAGGGTATATGCTATGGTGAGTGCTGTGAAGTGTGTAAACCTGGCGATTCACAGACCCGTACCCCTGGGGCTAATAATACATTATATGTTTATAAAAAAAATTTAAAACTTTAAAAAAAAAAGTCCTGGATAATGTCAGGGAGTATTTGATAATGGTTTTTATTTTTTAAATTAATCTGTCTCTGCATTTTAATATACATATTTAATCTGTTCATATTTATCATAATTGTTAATATGTTTGAATTTATTTCTGACCTCTTATTTTGTGTTACCTGTGTCCTTGCTTTTGTTTTTTCCTTTTTTCTATCTTTGTTTTATATTGAGAGCAGTTTTCTTCCACTATTTTCTGTTTAGAAGTTAGAAAGTTAAATATCTTCTTTTTTTAGTCCTCTATTATTGCCCTTAAATTTTTTATTTTAAAGATTTTATTTATTTATTTGACAGAAATCACAAGTAGGCAGAGAGACAGGCAGAGAGAGAGAGGAAGGGAAGCAGGCTCCCCACTGAGCAGAGAGCCCTATGTGGGACTCGATCCAGGACCCTGAGATCATGACCTGAGCCGAAGGCAGAGGCTTTAACCCACTGAGCCACCCAGGCACCCCTATTGCCCTTAAGTTTTTAATACAAATATTTACTTTTTTTTTAAATTTTTTTTATTTATTTACCAGAGAGAGAGAATCACAAGTAGGCAGAGAGGCAGGCAGAGAGAGAGGGGGAAGCAGGGTCCCCACCAGGCAGAGAGCCCAATGCAGGGCTCAATCCCAGGACCCTGAGATCATGACCTGAGCTGAAGGCAGAGGCTCAACCCACCCAGGCGCTCCAACTTTTATATTTTTTTAATAACATAACAAGACAGGAACCTCAGAAAGCTTTAACTCTTTCTGCTCCCTTCCCTGATACCTTCTTTATGAGAAAAATTGAGATTTTGCTTTTTAGTTATTTATAATCAGAACTTAGGTTTTACTAGTTTGTTTTTTTAACTCACTCCTCCCGCTTTTATTTATATCAATTTCTACTCCTAGGTGAGCTGTTTATTTACTTTGATTATATTGTATTTTGAGGGGACAATAACTTCTCTAAGAATTCTCTTAGATAAGATTTGTGAGTGGTACACTTTCTGTACTGCTACATATCAGAAAACGTATATATTCTGCCCTCCTGTGTGATTAGCTTGGCTGGGTAGGAATCCTATATTCCTAGTCATTTTCCCTCAGATTTTCAAAGAATTTGCTTCATTGTTTCCAATGACGTTATCTGATTCATAAAAGGCTTTGGGATTTTGTTTTTCTACTTAACTGTTACGAAATGTCAGTATTATATGCTTTGTTTTATTCTTCCATTCATACTGGCTCTTCAGCTCTCAGAAATTGGTTTCCATTGTTTCTTTGAGAAGTTTCTCTTTTCTTCTGTTTCTGCTCTACTTTCTAGACTTCTGTTAACTGGATTTGGAAACTTGGATTTATCTTCGGTGTCTATTTGGTTTTTTTGTGCCACATTCTCAGAAAATGTCTTGGCTCAGTCTTCTAATTGATTACTTTTTAACTATGTTTATTCTACTGTTTGACACGATGTGTACTGTCTTATTTCAGTGTTTAAATTTTTAATTTCCAAGATTCATAGTTGTCTTTCTCTGAATACAGTATACTGTCAAATCTCTGAAGATAGACTTGCTGCTATGGCCACAAGGTTAGTTCTTCTGATGTTGATTCTAGTGTATCTTTGCAACAGTGCGGACTGTTGCAGATCCAGTGAGTCTGAGAGCTCCTGCTAGCCTGTCAATGTGGCATCTGCTTCTAGCAACCATGGGGAGGGGTAGGACATGCTACAAGATGGGCTGTACCAGAAGCCGCTGTTCTGAGCTTGGATGTTTCCCTTTCCTTTTGGGACTAAGCAGCCTCTCTCACTTCTCAGAAGCATGGTTCTTTGTTGAGAAGGAATGATGGGGTGGGGACAGGCAGGAGATGTCTAGCTATTCCTCCTGCAGAGCCCAGCCAGTGTCACTAACGTTTGTTCCAAGGCCCTTTTCTGCTTTGGATCCTGTGGCTCCTCTGTCCTTGGGATTGTTTTGAAAACTTTTTTTTTAGTTTGTATAACCACTCTTTTTTGGGGAGTCATATTGCCATGTTTTTTTCCTTTAGTCCATTTGTATCTGTTATTCCTCTTTTAGGAATTTTTCAAAATTCCTGATCCTTGAAGAGTACTCCTCCTTTACTAATGCCATATGGAGGGGGTTTTTTTTGTTGTTTTTTTAAATTATGTTACTTGCAGGGATTTGAACTGGAAGGGCTGTCAGATGCATTGCTCAGAGCAAAAGTTGCTCAGAGCAACTTTTTTTTTTTTTTTTTTTTTTAAGATTTATTTAGAGAGAGAACACACAGGTGCACGTGAGTAGGGGCAGGGGCTGCAGGGGAGGGAGAGAAAAGCTTCATGCAGACTCCCTGTTGAGCATGGAGCCTGACTCAGGGCTCAATCCCAGGACTCTATGACCATTACCTGAGCCAAGAAATGACCTGAGCCAAAATCAGGAGTTGGCCACTTAACTGACTGGGCCACCCAGGCACCCCTCATAGCACTATCTTGATCCAAACTTGTAATCAAGAATCTAGCATACCTCTGTTTAAATATATCCTCAATAATATATTCCAAGAAAAAGAATAGATATTTCTTCGACTGTGACAAAGATAGCTCCTAAAGTTATACTTCTAGGGTATCTCCTAAAACTAATATTATATAGGCTTTGAGTATTATATTTTAGTAAATCCATAATTCCTCTTTACCTATGAAATCATAGAACCACCATTTTTGATTATATGTTATTTTTGTAGCATACAAAGAAAAGCTAACCAGTATTTTTTTTTTTTCTTTTAGGTTACTACTGATTCAGTCATTCTAAAAGTTCTCCGGTCCAACATTCAGCATGTGCTGGTCTATGAGAACCTTGCTCTCCAGGAGAAAGCACTGGCTTGTATTCCAGTCCAAGAGCTAAAAAGGAGATCTCAAGAAAAGTTATCTAGAGCTAGAAAATTGGATAAAGGTAGTGGCTTTATATAACCATTCATTGCTAAATATACATCTGTTGCTAAAGAGAAACACTGAAATGCTGCCTTTTGCTGTATACATCATAAAATTCTAACCTATTTCTATTCTAATTTTTAAGATGTATAACAGTGGTAAAGTATTACTGTGTGTACCTCATAGACACATCATTAACACATCTATTTTTTTTAAACCTCAGCATATGTTTGCAGCTTAATCATTGGTATATGAATTTCTTTAGGTATAATATAATTTAAGTCTATGGAACATATGATAGTATTATTAGTGAATTTTAATGTGAATTAGAAGCCACATTGAAGATTAATCCATATGATTCGACCATTGATTCATTTCGGCTAATAAAGAGAGAGTATTTACGGGTATATGATATGGTTCTTCTCACCCACTACTGTCTGCTGCCTGGGAATAAATTCAGCTCTGCCACTTTACTGTGCATCACTGAGCAAGTAATTTGATCTCTATGCCTCAGTTTCTTCATTTGAAAATAGGATGATTTTTTTAAATAAATAAATTAGTACATGTAAATGCCTCAGAATGATACCTACCACATTCATCAACCAATAATATTTGTGTGTTATCATTAATAGTCTTAAGATTTTAGTTGTTAGGTTTTTCCACTGTTAGCATTTTTACTTTGAGTTTTTATGTGATTAGCTTTTATCTAAGTCATTTCTTAATACTATATTTTCTAGGGGATTATATAATTTCTCTGGGGGTTACCTTAGTTTCCAGTAAATGTTTTAACTGTGTCTACCTTCAAAAACACTATTCTACTTCATGTATAATGCAGATACCTTTTAACAGAATCATCCCAGTTCTTCCCTCCCATCCTTATAATATTGCAGTCATATGCTGTAATCACCCAATACATTGCTCTTGTTATGATTTAAAGAAGTTACTTTTGGGGCGCCTGGGTGGCTCAGTGGGTTAAGCCGCTGCCTTCGGCTCAGGTCATGATCTCAGGGTCCTGGGATCGAGCCCCGCATCGGGCTCTCTGCTCAGCAGGGAGCCTGCTTCCTCCTCTCTCTCTACCTGCCTCTCTGCCTGCTTGTGATCTCTCTCTCTGTCAAATAAATAAATAAATAAAATCTTTAAAAAAAAAAAAAAATAAGTTACTTTTTAGGCCAAAAATAAGAAAATAAAAGATTCTCTTTTACCTTCATATATTCCTTTTCTGACACTTCTTTTTCATGGATCCAAATTTCTGATCTATATCATTTTCCCTCTTCCTAAAGAATTTCTTTTAATATTTCTTTCAGAGCAGATCTGCTATAGATGAATTTCCTCAATTTTTCATTGCCTGAGAAACCCTTAATTTTTTCTTCACTTTTGAAGGAAATATCACTGGGATATAGAATTCTAGGTTGGTGAGGTTTTCTTTCAACAATACTTTAAATGTTTTACCCTCCGGTCCTCTTGCCTCCATTGTTTATGACAAGAAGTCTGTTACAATCCTCGTCCTTATTCCTGTCTAGGTAAGGTTTTCCCCATTTCCCCCAGCTCACTCCCATCCCCAGCTTTATTCAAGATTTTCTCTATCTTTGGTTTTCTACAGTTTGAATATGACGTGTCTAGGTGTAGTTTCTTGGTTGGTGTTTTCTAAGCATCCAAGGTCTGTGGTTTGGAATCTTACTAATTTTGGAAAATTCGTGGCCATTATTGCTTCAAATATTTCTTTTGTTTCTTTCTCTCTTTTCCTTCTGGTATTCCAAAATGAAGGTATCCTATTTTACTTTTATCTGTCTCTGCCTCAGTTTCCCACAGTTCTTAGATGTTCTGGTCCATTTTGATATTCTCCTGCGGTTCTTGAATGTTCTGTGCTCTTTTTTCTTTTTTCTTTTTTTTTTTTTTTTTTGGTCTTTGATTTTCAGTTTGGGAAGTTTCTGTTAACCTACCTTCAAGCTCACTGACTCTGTCCTTGGCTGTGTCCCATCTACTGACGAGCCCACGAAAGGCATTCTGTTACAGTGTTTTTGATTTCTAGCATTTCCTCTAAATTTTTTTGAAGTTTCTAAACAGACAAAAAAAAAAAATCTATTTACATTATCCATCTGTTCCTACATGTTGTTTACTTTTTTCATGAGAACACCTAATATATAGTTATTTTAAATTCTTTGTTTGTTAATTCCAAAATCTGGGTGGTTCTGATACTTGCTTTATCACTTTAGACTGATTTTTCTTGCTTTTTAATACATCTTGTATTTGTTTGTTGTAAGTTAGACATGATGTATTGGGTAGTAGGAGCTGAGATGAATAAGCCCTTTATATAAGGTCTTACATCAAGGAGTGGGTTATGTTTAATGTTAGCAGTAGGTGTCAGAAACTTCGGACTTCCTCTGGTATTCTTGTCTCCCCTGTTGTTTCTAAAAAACTCCTCCTTAGATATAGTCTGCATCTTTTAGTAGATTCCATTGTTGTTACACCAGAGCCTTTTTGGTGTAGTGGTAAGGTAGGGGGGAGTAGAAGCCCTCTGTAATCTGATGATTAAATCTCAGTGCTTTAGTGAGCCTGTATCCTCAGACCTGTGACCTTGCCAAGTCTTTCTTAACTTTTTCCTCCCATAGATGAGATAGGAAGGCTAGAGGTGGCTAGGGTCAGGGAAGTTCCCTTTCCCCACTTCAGCAAAGGCTTTAGTAAAATCTTTTTCCCTGAAGAATAAGTCTTAATTGTAAAGAAGGCTCTGGGCATACTTTGCAATTCTTTTTTTTTTTTTTTAAGATTTTATTTATTTATTTGACAGAGATCACAAGTAGGCAGAGAGGCAGGCAGAGGGAGAGGGGGAAGCAGGCTCCCCGCTGAATAGAGAGCCCAATGTGGGGCTCAATCTCAGGACCCTAAGACCATGACCTCAGCCGAAGGCAGAGGCTTAACCCACTGAACCACCCATGAGCCCCATACTTTGCAGTTCTTAATATTCTCTTCTTCTCAGAGCTATGAGGGGATCTTTTTTGTTCTTCACCAAGAAAACCTGGTAGGATTGTTGGAAGGAAAACCCACAAAAGTGTAAGGAACCCCTCCTAAGATTGTGTTTCTTACTAAAGCTTGTCTATATTCAGACTCCAGCAGTTTGTCAAAATTATCATTTAAGTATTTCTACCAATTAATGGCTCCAGTGGCTTCTGTTCCGTATAGCAGATGGCTGGTTGTGATTCCATGTATTTGGCTGAGATTCTCTATATTTGTCTGTCTCTCCAGATTTTAGGGTGACAGTTTGCCCTGTGAACTCTAAGGAGCTCAAGAAAAGTCAATGATTTTGGTTTGTTCAGTTTTTTGTTGTCGTAATGATGGGAATGACAACTCTAAGCTCTTTACATGTCAGAGCTAAAACCGGAAGTCTCTCTGAGGGATTAACTATGAGTCTCTTTTCCATTTTTTAATCATTTAATCACTCCTCACATATCTCATTTAGGTATTTTGCTGCCTATTGTATTTTGGTAGTTTTGTTTTTATTATACTATGTCATTTTCTTGTATTTGAAAACCATTCTGGGCCTGAGACTTAATTCAGCAACATTGTTGTGAGACCTTGAGACAATTCTTCATATTCTTGAATTAACAGTGACTCATTTGGCTGAGCCCCACAGAGGAGACACAACAGTGTCCCTCTCGACATTTGCCTGGCATTTTTTTCCCTGTAATTATAAAGATAATACATGGCTTTGTTGTAGAAAATTTAGAAAATGGGGGTAAGATAAGCCATCTGTAATTTCACATCAGAGTGTGACTTATGAGATTTGTCTATATATTCTTTCACACTTAAAATTTAAGAGCACTATAATGGAGCTTTAAGTAGGAAAGAAAGAATATATCAGGTTGGTAGAATGGTATTGTGAAAATCAGTAGAAGATTGAGTTTTGGGGGGTTTTTTTAAAGTTATAAAGGATGAGTTGGAATAATAACCTGAGATGCCACAGGAATTACTAAGGCAGAGATCAGGGGTATTGTTCCAAATGTAGTGAACAGCATGTATGGAGGCAGAAAAGTTATATTCTATGTGGGGAACAATGAGTAATAAAATCTGGCTATGTGTAGTGTAAGGAGTGGGTAAAAGAGTAGTGAGAGATCAGGTAGGCTGAGATCATATTTTGGTTGACATTGAATTTCAGGCAGAGAAATATATACTGAATTTATCTTACATTTTTAATCTTTCCTAAAAGAACTAGAGATAAAATGGAACAAAGAATACTTTTGACAAAGTTTTGAAATAGAAAATAAGGACCAAAGAAATAAGGAGGATGTACATGTCTTAGTGGTAAAGCTAACATTACAATGTTAGTATGATTGAACATGAAGCAAAAAGGTTATGTAGTCTGTTCATTAGCAAGGAGGAAATAAAGCCATTGCTCAGGGAAGTCAAGTATTCTTGATTACTTAATTCAGCTGCATTAACCATCGAAGCTTTAAGCATGTGAGTGACCTCAGAGGTGTGCTTAATTGATCTAGCTATAACTTGTAAGATGAACAAGAATAACAGAGTGCAAGGAGAGAAGAGTGGAAACACAGTAGTAATAGAATTTCCAAAAGAGGAATTAGGGTGAACAGGGTATTGTGACAGCAGGGGAGAAAATGGATGTGAGTTACTGGGGTGATAGAATACATGTTGTTTGCAGTTGCTGAGTACATTTGATGTGACAAGGCATTGTGTAAGCTTAAGGAAAATGTCAAGGAGGACTGTCCAGTTTTGAATTCAGGCAACCGGAAGATTAGAGGAGTCAATAGGAACAGTCTTTGAAGGGAAATGCTTTAAAGTACCTGCTGGCCATTATCTGGACCAGGTGAAAATGTAGGCCTGGAGTACACTTTAGGGTGATAGGTAAATCTCTGCAAGTAAAGGAGATTTCCCAGAATGAAAAGACAAGGGGAAAAGGAGCGATTGCAAAGATTCTAGAAAACAGGGCAGTACTAGCCACATATAGGTATTTATATTTAAATTAAGCTTTAAAAAATCAAAAGTCCAGTTCTTTAGCTATAGTCAACACATTTTTTTTTTTAAAGATTTTATTTATTTGACAGAGATTACAAGTAGGCAGAGAGGCAGGCAGAGAGAGAGGAGGAAGCAAGCTCCCCGCTGAGCAGAGAGCCCGACGCGGGGCTCCATCCCAGGACCCTGAGATCATGACCTGAGCCGAAGGCAGAGGCTTTAACCCACTGAGCCACCCAGGCGCCCCGGTATAGTCAACACATTTTAAGTACACATTAACCACAAGTGACTATTGGCCTTGCATTTTTAAAAAGATTACTCTGCTTTAGGCACTTGATGGAGAAGAAGGGTGGCAGTGCTGTATTTCTAAAGTTCATTTGTAATCTAATACAGACTTTCATATTATATGAGAAAAGCTAAACTCTCCCTGCCAGTCAGTCCTACACCTCTTCTGTAGGTAACCGGTATTACCGTGTGATATGTTCCTTTTCATACCTTCTCCTATGTATTTACACGCATAGTTACCTGCAAAAATAGTTTCAGTTGTGTGGGTTTACATAAAATTTATCATCCCATGTATCTTCAGTTTCTTGGTGTTTTTCATTTACTAACTTGTCTTAGAAACCTTTTGAACCCTCCATAGTGTTCTATAGTATGGATATACTAATGTTTATACAGTTCCCTATTGCTAGACATTGAGACTATTTACCATTTTTCTCTATTTTGAATGCTCCTGCAGTGAGAATTCTTGTAAAGCATGCCTTGTGGTGTATATGCACAAGTGTTTCTCTGAGATAAATATAAAAGTATCAGGGGTGTGTGACTTAACACTGTAAAGGATCCTGTCAAACAAATTATCTTTCAGTTTACATCAGAAGTACCGAGAGTACTTATTTCTACCTAATGAAATTATTGGACTTCTTTTATAGACTTTGAACTTTTCTAATGGGTTTGCTAATATTCTTACCAATTTATAGAAGTTCTTTATATATTCTGGATACTTAGTTAGATATATTACATTTTTTTTTCTCCCAGTGTTGTTTTCTGTTGTTTTTTTTTTTTAAGATTTTATTTATTTATTTGACAGAGAGACACAACGAGAGAGGGAACACAAGCAGGGGGCAGTGGCAGAGGGAGAAGCAGGCTCCCTGCTGAGCAGAGATCCTGATGCTGAGCTTGATCCCAGGACTCTGGGATCATGACCTGAGCTGAAGGCAGATGCCCCTTTACCGATGTTCCTTAATTTCATTTAGTGTATCTTTTGAAATTCATAAGCTATAACTTTTAATTTAAGAAAGCTTATTCTTTCCCATTACTGATTTCACAGTCTACATCTTGCTTAAGAAGGCCCTTCCCTACCACAATCATTAACATATTCTGTGACTTCTGTTACCTTTATAGTATTCCTTCTCTCAATATAGAATTTATATATTGTCCCCAAATCATTTATTGAACAGTCTATCTTCTTAGAACTACTTTGAAAGGCTAACTTTATTAGATATCATGTATCACTTAGAAATCTTTTAGGAATCAGGGCATCTCGGTGACTCAGTGGGTTAAGCCTCTGCCTTCGGCTGAGGTCATGTTCTCAGGGTCGTGGTATCAAGACCTGCATCAGGCTCTCTGCTCAGCAGGGAGCCTGCTTCCCCCTCTCTCTCAGCCTGCCTCTGTCTACTTGTCATCTCTGTCCTCTCTGTCAAATAAATAAATAAAATCTTTAAAAAAAGAAAAGATCTTTTGGGAATCATTTTTTTGTTTCAGTGATCTGCTTTTTTTTTTTTTCACCAATATCACAATATTGTAATTATTAAAATTTTGTAATGTGTTTTGACATTACTAAATGAATTTATTATATTCTTAGCCAAATTTTATGAAAAATTATTTTATAAATTCTTAAATAAATTTTTTAAATTAAATACTTTTTAAATTATCTTGTAATTGGGTTTACATTAGATTACAGGTTAATTTGTAGAGGAGTAACAACTTTGGAGTATTGTTTTCCCATCCAGGAACATAATATATTTCTAGCCTTTATATTCTCTAGTTTTTTTCCTAATACAGTTTTCTCATTTTGAACAATATCAAACAAATGGAGTATAACTATAGAAATAGAGTATAATGTATCAAACACCTGTGACCAGCATTAAACTTTACTAGATGTTCACATTATGCCATATAGTACCTTCATATGTATGTTTTATGATCACTTCTTAATAATAAAACTTGAAAGAGATGAGAACTCCTGTATGTGTCTCCTATATATTCTTTTCTCCTCTCCTTCTCTTCTTACCCAAGATACCACAGTCTTGAATATGGTTAAGAGACATCTTTTTATTTTGACAAATAGGTACAATTTTATATAATATAGGCTGTACTTGCCAGGGTTGTTGTATACTGTGTGGACATTGTTGTGTTTCTGGTGATTTATGGTGGGTATTCACAGATGGATTATACTGTATAGTTGAAACACTGATAGAAAAGCTGATAGGTTGAATTTTTAAGGTGTCTGGAATTCCGTGCTTTCTGCTAGTGATTTTGTTATTGTTTCTTGTTTACTTGTATATATACCTGATAAAAAGTTGAATGTAGTCCTTTTTAAATGTTTTAAAATTAAAGTGATTTCTTAACATCCCTGTGTTTCAAGATCAACTACATATTGACCACAGTTCCCTGAGAGGTTGCTGTGTTCAGTTCACTTGTTAGTGCATGATGTTGATTAGAGGTTACAGAGTGGTAAATGTCCTGCCCCTGTAAATGTACAGTGTATTTGGTTCACAATATGCTGACAATTCTTTTCTTGCATCAGATTTGAGAAAACCTTTTAGATCTTCTTATATTTTCATTTATTTTGGCTCCATATTCGAGAATAAAGTATGTATGTGTATTTTTAGTTTTCATCAGCTTTAGATCTTACTTGGCTCTGTTTTAACTTCTCAGGTACTAATGTAAGTGATGAGGATTTTCTTCTGCTGGAGCTTTTACACTGGTTTAAGGAAGAATTTTTTCAATGGGTGAATGACATTTTGTGCAGCAAATGTGGAGGCCAGACTAAGTCCAGAGGTGAATCACTATTCCCCAATGATGATGAGATGAAGTGGGGTGCAAACAGAGTAGAAGATCATTACTGCAGTGCATGCCAGTTCAGCAATCGATTCCCAAGGTGGGTGTCCACGGGACAGTAAAGTTAGATTCCATTATTCCTTAACGGAATGGTTAGAAAAGAATTTTTGTTGGATGAACTCTTCAATTATTAGAAATACATTCCTCTAGGACAGAGGTCAGCAAGCTGTGGCTGACAGGCTAAACCCAGCCTACATCCTATTTTTATAAATAAAGTTTTATTGGAACACATTTATGCTGATTTATGTATTTATGATCTATAACTCTTTACATTCCAGTGGCAGGGTTGAATACTGGCAGCAGAGGCCATATGGCCTGCAAAGTCTAAAGTAATTACTGCCTTTTTATAGGAAACGTATGTTTATTCTTGCTCTGGAATATAAATTGAGTATAGTCTTAGCACTTTTAATGTAACTTTTGTATTAATCTTTATATAACTTTAACTTTCTGATAACTTTAATAATGATTGATAGCACATAAAAATAACACTAGCAACATTAATAATAATACTGATAAATTGTGACACTAAAGACAATGCTGTACTTAAAATAATCATCAGATGGTAATACGGAAGGTAGAAGTATAATACCATCTTGCTGTTTTCTTTTTAACAACAGAATTTTGTTTTAATCAGGTGTTTCTCCTGCTCAACCTAACATATCCTCATTACCTAAATTTTAAACTAAAAAAGTTTGAACTTTTCAGTTAACTTTTTTCATCCTTTAATTCACAAGCCTCTTACCAGTATTTTTTTAAATTGACAATACTTACAAATGTTGATTGTATCACTGGTCAGGAAAAGATACCAAGTATTTGAAATCCCTAATTTTTGGAGCTTAAGGACTCAGTTGTGTCCTAACTAGGAACCAGCCCTGTGGAATATACAGAATCTTGTATCTATGAATGACATAGAATTAATTCAGGTTATTTCTTCAGTCAGCATACATTTGCCACAGGCACTTTGCAAAGATTGGAAGGTAAAAAATAATAATTAAATCTCTTTCCTCATAAACTTTTCTAGGCCGTTAGATATAAACTGATAATGCAGTGTGGAGGGGGCACAGGCTAACAAAGATATTTACTGTTTTCCTTTCTACTTGTTTGCTTGTTAACTGTTAATTTGTTAATGTTAACTTGTTTAACTATGTATAGAGTTGGGATGATGAACACTATTAATTCTAGGCTAAGCTGATCATTCAACTGATACAAATAGTATATAGAAGAGGCATAGGATGCTCTAATTCTGTGGTTATTACTTCTTCATATAAATTTACATCTTTTTTCAATTACTTAACTACTTAATTTTAAATTCATTTAATTTAGCTAGTTTAAACAACAGCGTCTACTTAAGACAAACTTGTCATTGTCGAGCCAGTTTATTCACGTAATGGCTTCCTTCCACAAGCTCACGGCCAGCATCTCTACTCAGCTAGGGCCCATTTCTTGTTTAGCTTTATCAACCAAGATCCTCCTCAACACAGTATGCAAAGTTTGGTGTTCTCCAATTTATGATAATTTGATAATTGGAGTACCTTTTTAAAACATTGTTGCAAACATCTTTCAAAAAACAACTTCCAAATTAGCAAGCACCTTTAAGGAGTTAAGAAGGGAAAAAAAAATCAATCAAAAATATCATTAGAAGGATGCCTAGGTGGCTCAGTTGGTTTAAGTGTCTGCCTTTGGCTCAAGTCATGATCCCAGAGTCCTGGGATCACATCCTGAACTGGGCTTCTTCCCTAGCAGGGAGCCTGCTTCTCCCTCTGCCTGCTGCTCCCCCTACTTGTGTGCTCACTCGCTTGCTTTCTCTCTCTCTGACAAAGTCTTAAAAAAAAAAATCATTAGTCAGAAAAGTAGTATTTTAAGTAGAATTGAGTTCAACTTAGTTTTTAAAATTTTTATTAAGTTGTTTACCTTTTAAATGCATGAGCTAATTATACCACTTATTAGAATAATATCAATGTTTTAAGCAGATTTTCTAGAGAATCTCTTCCTATCCAAATCTAATCTGCCCTTCAAGGCCCAGTTTAAATACAAGCTGTCCTCCCAACCACTCTCACATAACACTCAATCTGACCTAATGTATGGTTTTGTCACATTCTGCCATGTATTAGTTTTGGTGTTAATTTCTTCTTTCTCTAAGGCCTGTAAACTCCTTGAAGGCTGTACCACTGTTTAATCATTTTCATTAAAGCTTCTATTAACAAAATTAATTAAATTAACATAATTAACAAAAGTAACAAAGCTTCTGTTAACAATAATATATTCTTGGCTCTATAATCACTGTCTAAGAATGTGAAATGAAGCTAATATAATATTGTATGTCAAATATATTTCAATTTAAAATAATTTTTAAAAATATAAAATAGAAATATTACTGTTTAGCACAGAGGTAATGAAAAATGTTTAAAATTCTTTATTTTGTTAATGAATCAAAGCTTTTTTATGATTATTTTAAAACAGATATAATAACCCTGAGAAACTTTTGGAAACAAGATGTGGACGGTGTGGCGAGTGGGCCAATTGTTTTACACTGTGCTGCCGAGCCTTAGGGTTTGAAGCTCGCTATGTTTGGGATTACACAGGTACAAAACATGGTGTGAGCAGAGCAATAGGGCTGTGCAGACTTCAAGATTGGGTTTACAGTCTGGGCTCATCATTTTCTGTCTGATACTCTCTGGCATTGTCATTCTGAGTTTCCATTTGCCTTCTGTAAAATAAGAATATCAACCTCGAGTTTTTTGTGGGGAATCTCTAGATTTTTGTAGTACACTTACATTTTGCTGGGCACTTTAAACATGACAATATAAACATTCTTTTATAAACAGTTTACCATGACACTTTAAATAATGCTTTTTCTGTATGAATAATAACATGTAATATGCTCTAGAAATCTTTGTTTTGATAGCAATTAGTGTAAAAGGTGTAGTAAGCTTAAATCTCATTATACAAAAAGGGTAATAAAAACCATGTGAAATTTTTATTGTCCTTATTTAGAAATGACTCTTCTCATCTACATATTTAAAAGTTGTTTCCCTTGTCAGAATTTTACTTGTGTTTCTATTGTTTTTTAAGATAAAATGAAACATTCACTTAAGAATTACTGTTCTCTTACAATCAAATATAGAACATCAGTAACCAGAGATCCTTTGTTAGACCTCCTACTGGTTTGGGTCTTACAGGGCAAAAGAGACTGCAGTTTCAAAAGTGTCATTAGCTCCTTCATATTAGCAAAGACTGAGCCTGATATTTTTGATGCCATTGTTCAGTATATTCACCTTTTTAGAGTTAGAGCTCACATTATTTTTAATTAAGCTTAAAACTGACCGCATTAAAGGACATAGTCCAAAAACATTTTTAAGGATTTCAAAGAGACAAAAAAATTTAAACAAGTATGCTAAGAGTCTTGTGTGCCACAAAATGCTCCGACTTATTAACTAAAATTTAGACCCTTACAAATTCTTCTGTGATCCTTATCTTTAGAGTTTGTGGATAGTTGTTGGAAATAATTCTGGTTTTATAAACTTAACTTTTATTTCCTTTCTTTCTGTTGCTCTCTTGTCTCTTGAGTAGACCATGTCTGGACAGAAGTCTATTCTCCTTCTCAGCAGCGGTGGCTGCACTGTGACGCCTGTGAAGATGTCTGTGATAAGCCACTCCTTTATGAAATTGGGTGGGGCAAGAAGCTTTCCTATGTCATTGCATTTTCTAAGGATGAGGTAAGGCATAAGCGCAAAAATTATATTCTGAGAATGAAATATTTCTTTCAGACAGCTTTTGAAGGTATAATTGACATATAAGAACCAGCTTATATTGAAAATAAATAATTTAATAAATTTTGTCATTTGTGTACACCCATGAAATTACCTTTATAGTCAAGATAGTGAACTTACGGGGCGCCTGGGTGGCTCAGTGGGTTAGGCCTCTGCCTTCAGCTCAGGTCATGATCTCAGGGTCCTGGGATCTAGCCCCGCATCAGCTCCCTGCTTGGCGGGGAACCTGCTTCCCCCTCTCTCTCTCTGCCTGCCTCTCTGCTTACTTGTGATCTCTCTCTCTCTGTGTCAAATAAATAAAATTAAAAAAAAAAAAAAAAAAAAAAAGATAGTGAACTTGCTCACTATCCCTGTAAGTTTTCTTATCTCCTTTGTTATCGCTCCTTCTTACCCCTCTCTAGGCAACCATGCATCTGCTTTCTTTCACTATATATGAATCTGCATATCCAGAGTTTTATATAAAATGAAATCATACAGTGTATGTTCTTTTTGGTGAGCGTGGTCTGGTTTCTTTTACTCGGCATAATAATTTTGAGATTCATCCGTGTTATTCTTATGTATCAATAATTTATTATTTGGGGGCACCTGGGTGGTTCAGTCAGTTAAGCATCTGCTTTTGAGTCAAGTCATAATCTGAGGGTCCAGGGATGGAGCCCCGTGTCCAGCTCCCTGCTCAGTGGGGAGCCTGCTTCTCCCCTTCTTGCTCCCTTTCACCTCCCTAACTCATGTTCTCTCTTGCTCACTCCACTCCCTGTCTCTCAAAATAAATTTTTAAAGTCATAAAAAAAATTGTTTTTATTACTGAATATTCCATTGTATGCATGTACCATAGTTTGTTTATCCATTCACCTGTTGATGGGCATTTGGGTAATTTCCAGTTTTTTATTATTTCTATTTCAAGTAAAGTTGCTGTAAATATTTATGCACAAGTCTTTATAGCGCCATATGCTGTCTTTTCTCTTTGGTAAATTCCTAGAAGTAGAATGACTGGATCATATGGTAGGTGTATGTTTAACTTTTTAAGAAACTGCTAAACTTAAAAAAAAAGAAAGAAAGAAGGAAAAAAACTGCTAAACTCTTTTCCAAAGTCATATGCCATTTCATATTCTCACCAGCAGTATGTGAGAGTTCCCAGTTTCTCTATATGCTTGCTAACTTCTATATCCTTAGTATGGTCATCTGGTTTTGTTTTTTTTGTTGTTGTTGTCGCTTTTGTTGTTGTTGTTTTTTTAATTTTAGCCTTCTTAATAGATGTGAGGTGGTATCTCATTGTGGTTTTCATTTGCATTTCCCTAATGACATAATAATGAATATCTTCTTATGTGCTAATTTGCCATGCATAGTCTTCTTTGCCCATTTTTTAAAAATTGGATTGTTCATTTCCTTATTGTTGAATTTTGAGAATTCTTCATATATTCTGCATACAAGTCATTTTCCAGGTAGATGCTTTGCAAAGATTTTCTCCTTGTTATTGGTGTGTCTTTTCATTCTGTCAGTGACTATTGAAGAGACATAATTGATAACGTTCAGTTAATCAATTTGTTCTTTCAGGGATTGTGCTTTTTTTCTTTTTTAAATGGGGTATAACAGACATATAGTTGCATGTGTACAACATAATGATTCAGTATTCGTATAGATGGTGAAATGATGGGTTGTGCTTTTTGACGTATCTAAGAAATTTTTGCGTAGCCCAAGCCACAATGATTTTATCCTGTGTTTTCTTTTGAAAGTTTTATGTTTTCGGTTTTACATTTGGGTCTGTCATCCATTTTGAGTTAATTTTTGTATATAGTCCACTGTGTGGGTTGAAGTTCATTGTTTTCCTTTAGAATAACAAGTTGCCCTAGCATCATTTGTTGAAAATGTTCTCTTTTTTCCATTAAATTGTCTTTGTACCTTTGTCACAAATTAGTTCTTTAATGTAAATTTAATACAATAAAAATGGAACAAGGTTTTATTTGTTTAATTTTATGAAATCAACTTTATAAATAAGTTTTAAAAAACTAAATGTTCTGGAAATCTCATTTTATCACAGGCTTTCCTGAAAGTGTACCTCTTAGAAAAATAAATAAAAAGCATATTCTTTTTTTTTTAATAGGTTTTAAAATTTAAAAAAGGATAGCATTTAAAAAAACTATTTAAGAATTATATACATTCTAGGTAGTTAGCAAATTAAGGTTGATGGTTGTATTCTTGTTAAATACTGTATTCTGTAATTTGAGGTGGTTGATGTCACTTGGCGATATTCTTGTAAACATGATGAGGTAATCTCCCGAAGAACTGAGGTTAAAGAAGAATTACTTCGAGAAACTATTAATGGACTTAATAAACAGGTATGAGCACTTGGCATTTTTGAGAGGACATTTAAAGTTTTTATAGAATCAGGAATGGCCAGTTTTTAACCCATTGAAACTCTGAGAGTAGCAGCATTATTTTGCAAGCAAAAATATTCTAATATGTTAAATGGTTTTTTGTTCATTGAAAACTTTGAGGTCTTATTTTAAATACCATGGCTTTTTTGTGTATTCAGTTATCATAACATCTCTTTCCAAAGTTTAGTGAAACAAAATTTCAGTGTATGTAATACTAGACATAAAAAGTATGTTTTTATTTTTCAAAGAAATTGTGTCTTGAATATAATTATAACATTTCTCCAAGAATGGAAATTTTTGAAATAAGGCACAGGAAATTGTTAACAGTGACTGTTCTGGAAAAAGGCCCTAGAGGTTCAAAAAGGAAGATTCAGTTTTTATTTAATATCCCTTTGGTAGTATTGAAATTTTTTACTATTATACATGTGTGGGGTTTTTTATGATTTAAAAGCCAAACCACTAATTTTGCTTCTGGCAAGCAGTTAGGATAGGGCAGATCCCCTTAACCCAGTGATTGAGTTTCAAGGTGAAGTGTCTTTGGGTCTGTTTGGAATTTCACCTTCTAATATATGGCCCTTGAGCCTCTCACCTTGAAAGACTTTGAACTCCAGCTGATTTAGTCCGCCGTACTGTGATAATGTAAAAATTTGCTGTGTTTTTCAGCACGTAAAATATCATTTCATGGTTTCTTTCTCACCCTCTTTGGCTCAGACCAGTTAATAATTGGCAAATGCCTGGAAGGGAAGGAAGTGGAGTATGTTCAGTTGACCACAATTCATTTCTTTTTTGGGGATCTTAGCTTGTTTAGCTCTGGTTACCTTGGTAGCTTTCTGTTGTATTTAAACAGGTGTTTGTACATGTGTGCCTGCATATAATGTTTTGCCCAGCTTTTGCTACCTTTCTTTGGTAGGATAGTTGGTCTGACACAGCTAGTCTATCATAGCTGGAAGCAGAAGTTGCTACCTCCATTTTAAAATCTAGGACAATAAAGGTCATAAAGAGTTGGCTATGGATGTCAAATTATTTCTTTACACAAAATTTGTAAAATTATTTTAAGTTTTCCACATTGTCTTACATTCCAAATAACTACATGTGAACAAAAAGTTGGTTATGTCTTTCAAGATCCCATTAAAATACAAATGTTTTATGTATATTCTTTCTTAGAGGCAGACCTCTACATTTCCCTAATCTTAATGACTTCTTTTAAAATATGAATTACAGAGGCAAATATCTCTGTCAGAAAACAGAAGAAAAGAACTTCTCCAGAGGATTATTGTGGAGCTTGTTGAATTTATATCTCCCAAAACCCCTAAACCTGGAGAACTTGGTGGAAGAATATCTGGGTCAGTGGCTTGGAGAGTAGCCCGCGGTGAAATGGGTCTAGAGGTATTTAATTCTAATCTTCTCTATTGCTTCCAGTACTGTGCTCTTTGCTTATAGAAAAATGCATTGGGCATGACCTTTTTTTTTTTTTTTTTTTAAGATTTTATTTATTCATTTTGTAGAGCACAAGCAAGGGGAGCTGCAGGCAGAGGGAGAGGGAGAAGCAGGCTCTCTGCTGAGCAGGGAACCTAAGGCAGGGCTCTATCCCAGGACCCTGGGATCATGACCTGAGCCAAAGGCAGACACTTAACCTGCTGAGCCACCCAGGTGCCCCAGGCCATGACCTTCCAATGAACTTTTTAGAGTAATTATTGAAAAACACAAACATTTGAAAGAACCAGTAATTGATTGGCATAGTATATCCACATGCAGTAGTTAGCAAGGCATTTTAAAATAACATTTTTCTATGTTTTCAGTAGAATGTAACTGTTACTGAAGTACGTACAGAAAAATTCACAAATTATAAATGTAGAGCTTACCAGATTTTCATATTGAGCACCCACATAACCACCAACCAGCCTGAGGAATAGGCCACCAGAATCCAAGGAATAACCATCTGTTCCCTTCCAGTCACTTCTGCCACCACTAAGAATAACCATTATTGTGGTTTCTAACATCATAGATTAGTATTGCCTGTTATTGTGCTTTATGTAACTGGAATTATACCATACATACTCATGTGAATACTTTTTTCTCAACATTATTTTATGAAATTCAAACTTGATGCTGCAGTTTTGTTTTTGTTTTTTTTTTGTTGTTAATGCTTTTTTATGGCACGTTTATTCTCATTGCTCTATAATATTCCATTGTATAAATGTAATTTATCCATGCCACCTTTGATGGATATTTGGGCTGTTTCTGGGTTTTGACTGTTAAAAATCATACTGCTGTAGACAATTTATACACATTTTAGGTGAATGTATTTATCCGTTTGAGTTAGGTATATACCTAGGAGTGGAATTGCTAGGTGGTCGAGTAGGAGCTAGGAGTGTGTTCAGCCTTGGTGAATACTGCCAAGCAGCTTTCCCCAGTGGTTTTGCCAGTTTACACTCTCACCAGCAGTGTATGAGAATTTTCCACATCTTTACCTGTAGTTGGTATTGTCTTTTTCATTTTAGCAGTTGGTAGTATGTAGTAGTAGTATTACATTATGTATGTAGTAGTATTACATTATGATTTTACTTTGCATTTTGGTGATGACTAATGAAGTTGAATGCCTGTTCCTTAAATTTTGGATATCCTCTTTTGGGAAATGCCTGTTCAAGTTTTTCAAAATAAGATTTTATACGTTTTAGAGGAACTTGTTTACCTGTTTTCATGTATATATATATATACATACACATATAGTACCGTGAGAAAAATAATAGACTCTGGGTAATTCAGTGGATGAAAGTGTTTATTTCTTATATACTTATTATATACATCTCATATTAGCTAGAAATTATCATCTCTGGTGGGATTACTATTGTCAAATTTATATTAAGACATTATGTCTTGATTAATGACCCAAAATTAAATAATGAACAGAGGAAATATGCCTTTATTAGGGGCTAGGTGAAAAACAATGTGCTCTGTAATGGATATTAAGGAAGTACAGTAGACCTGTCCCTTGCCCTTAGGGAATTCAAAGTCGATCACTACTGAGTATTTTATATAAATGTCTAAGAAGATATGTAATGAAAAATGCTTAGATGGAAAATAACCCATCACTGTATCATATCAGAATTCCAAATAAATTAGAGTTTTATATCTACTTTTTCTAAATTTGCCATTATTGCCGCTCATTTCTCCAATAAAAGAATATGTCCAAAATGGGTGAATTATCCCCAGTAAACTTTATGTTTGCTTTTTAATTTATTTCATCATCTTTAAGAGACAGTTGAAAGTGTTGGTTCAGCCACAGAATTACAAGATCTAAATTCAACAGATAATTCAAATCACTGCTGATGCAGTGCAAGTTACAAGTTTAAATCTAAATGAAGCCAGTTTAAAAGAGCTAATTTAATTCACAGCTGTGTTCAGTTTAAATAAAACATCGATATTAGGTCTTCATTCTTTTTTCTTTTTATGGACGGATATGCTTCCTCTTGTATGGCATGTAAGTTGATTAAACTTTAAAAATATGAATTGGGTCATATGCCCAGATTGTCTTCCCTTTTGAAATTTCTTTTTAAATTTCCCAGTTACTGGAGACCATTACAGACATGGATTTAAAAAATCATTTTCCTCTTTAGAAGTAGATATTTATTTTAAAAGTAAATTGAAAGACAGCTATGCTCACCACTATACCACCAACACTTTAAGAGTAAATTGAATAATAAAAAATGTTAGTCTTAAAAAATGATGAAACTGTACCTTGAAATCATTTGGAAAAAGAAGGAAACGGTGATATTATTTCTGGAGAGAAAAGTTTTATCTTAATCTTAGATTTAAAAGATTTTATGAGGGCTACCTGGCTGGCTGTGTCAGTTGAGCATCCAACTCTTGATTTCTGTTCAGGCCATGAACTCAGGGTTGTGAGATCAAGCTCCACATCAGGCTCTGCCTCAGTGCAGAGTGTGTTTGTCCCTCTCCCTCTGCTCCTCCCACCACCTACTTGCTCTCTCTAATAAAAAAATAAAATCAGGGCGCCTGGGTGGCTCAGTGGGTTAAAGCCTCTGCCTTCAGCTCAGGTCATGATCCCAGGGTCCTGGGATCGAGCCCCACATTAGGCTCTCTGCTCAGCAGGGAGCCTGCTTCCTCCTCTCTCTCTGCCTGCCTCTCTGCCTACTTGTGATCTCTGTCTGTCAAATAAATAAATAAACAAAATCTTTTAAAAAAATAAAAAAATAAAATCTTTAAAAAAACAGAAGATTTTGCGAAATATTAATGTTATTCTTACTCCAGATTATTCAGTTGCATATATGATTATGATCAGTAGCATAAATATCTATCTTTTCCCTTTGGTAACTAGTTATCCTTTTTATTGAGTAGATAATGCTACTTTTAAATTTTATTTCCATTTGGTTTATGTCGATACCCTAAAATACGTTTATTAAGGTTTTATTTATTTACCTGACAGAAAGATAGAGAGCACAAGTAGGCGGAGTGGCAGGCAGAGGGACAGGGAGAAGCAGGCTCTCCACCAAGAAGGGAGCCCAATGCGGGACTTGATCCCACATTGGGATCATGACCTGAGCCGAAGGCAGCCATCCAACTGACTGAGCCACCCAGGTGCCCCAGTACCCTAGAATATATTTGATAAAGAGGAAAAGAACTGGGAAGTTTTGTTACACACTTGGTCATTCATGATTATAAACCATTTTCTAAAAATAAGCTGCTTTTTTTCTTTACCTGTTTGACAGTAATATCAAGTAATATCACAGTTTCCACTAGGGAATTATCTTTTTCATACATTTAATGTTACTATTTTAATAATGCTGACAGTGATGTATACACACACACACACACTTTTTTTGTTTCTAAGATGTTTTATATTCTGCTTATTGATTCTTGTACATTTGAAGTTTTCTTATTGTTTAATTAATACCTAGCACCCGATGTTGCTTTAAGTTGAGGCCAGAAGGATGAGAAAGAACCAAGTATAAGGAGAGTAGAAAGAAGAGTATGTGTCAGGGACCTGAGCTGGAAGTACCTGGATGGACCTTTTTGAGGAGCTAATGGAAGAGTAACTTGAGATTGATTGGAGAAGTAAGTAGGGAATAGAGCATTTAGAGTCCTAGTATAAAGGTTTGGAGTTTAAGTACAGTAGAAGTTGTTGGAGTGAGTTAAGCAAGAAGGTGACATATCCTAATTTACCCCAATTTCTAGGAAATCACTTTCATTACTATGTGGAGTCTTCCATTATTTTGAAAAGTAATTCTGCTTTCTTTTTTTAAGAGAAAAGAAACTCTGTTCATTCCCTCTGAAAATGAGAAGATTTCGAAACAACTCCACCTTTGTTATAATATTGTGAAAGATTGTTATGTCCGAGTTTCAAATAATAATCAAACCATTTCTGGATGGGAGAATGGTGTGTGGAAAATGGAATCCATATTCAGAAAAGTTGAAACAGACTGGAACATGGTAATTTCATGCATGAGACTATTTAAAAACTTTGTCATTGTTTAAACAAATGTAGATTGTTTCAGTGAAAACTGTGTATGTAAAGTGAAAACTGATCTATCAAAAAAAACTATGTATGTAAAGTGAAAACTGATCTATCAAAATTTTAATAATACTCAAACCTGTAAAAGAAAATCCTCCCAACGTTTAATCAAAAGTCCCTAAGAAATTTGTGCATTTGTATCAAGGAAGCATCCATTTTCATTAAAGAGGCTGAAATTAATTCATTCGTGGGGAAAAATAAATGTATGGCCAACTCATGACTAATTTTTGCATGAGTGTATAAAATACAGTGTTATTTAATTCCTTGATAGGTACTTATTGATTACCTACTAAAGCAGGCTACTGGGGACTGTAACATTTAACCTGAAGTCCCAAGAGTTAACCATTTAACACACTTTCATTTAATAAGAATGCAGATGATTGAGCAGCAACATTGGTTATTTCTTCTCCATGCCCTAAAGAATAAAGATACAGATGCTAGGACTAGTAGTTTACTTATATCAACCTGCATTGTTGTCACAGGCTATCTGTTACAAGTAGAAGCTTTGCCTTTAAACTGCCCTCCCCTTAGATACACACCAAAAATGAACACAAAATTATGCACATGACCTCAGTACATCGAACCATATTATTGATAGATTTTCATAGGAGTTCATTAACTTATAGGAAGCTTTTAAAGTTGACTTCCCAAGATTTTTGAGTAGGAAGGGAAGTTTCTCATTTGTAAGACACATTGGCTAGATTTAAAAAGTGAGTCATGGGTTAACAGCTGCTAGTGTTTATGCTTATCACTGTTCTAGGCATTGAATACAGAAGACGTACAGAGACAGGATCCCTGCCTTTTTTTCCAGTCATGTTTTTGTTCTACAATTTACCTTGGTGCTTATATTGGTGATCTTTTTGTATTAAACTAAGAATGGTTTACAACATTATTATAATTGTAGGTTTAGGACTTTTCTTCTTGAGTTGAAGAACATAAAAAATAGAAGAAGATCAAATTGAAAATTTTAAGATGTCTGTTATCTGTAATTGACAATATAGTTGATGAGAGTGGACGAACTTCTCAGGAAGACTATCCTTATCCCAAAGATTGTTCTGAACAGAAAGCAGGATAGCATAGACATGTTACGTATCCAAGGACTAAGCTACCCTTCTGAAACTAATGAAAGAGTATGCCCTTCTCCCTCACCAGCAGTGTTAATGGAGAAAGTTAATGGAGAAAATAATGACTTTCTGCAGAAAATTTGGTGTGATGAGAAACAGGTCGATTCTATGTAATATTTCTTCTCTGTCTTACTCATTTGTTCATCAGCAAACATTTATTGAATGCCTGTTAATATCAGGCATTGTCTCAGCTACATGGATAAAAAGATAAAGATACAGTGTCTACCCTCACAGTCTAACAGGGGAAGCCAAAGCATAAACAGCCATCTTACCCATGATGCAGAGTGCTATAATAAGGATATCAACACATTGCTATGGAAACACCGAGGAGGGAGTAATTAGCTCTGGCTGTGGGAGTTGGGGAAAGCTCCACAGAGCAAGCGACATTTGAGCTGGACGCTGAAGGATGAGTAGGTGTTCATGGAGCAAGAGAACAGCAGGGGAAAGGCATGGAGTACATGGCATGTTTTGGAGTTCTCTAAATAGACCATTGTAGCCAGAGGGTGTATTTATAAGTAAGATTTAAATATTGTAAATGAGATGCGGAGGCCATTAAATAAAAAACAGACTCCCACTCAATTAAAGCTTATGCCTTGATGTACCTATACAGAGGACATCACTTTTAAAACTTGAGTGAATCTGTTTCAAGTTATAATATGAAGAAAATATGAGAATCTTCATTACACTTCCAGAGTCTGATAACCTAGAAGTAATATATTGCCATTGAAACATTGAATTTTCTACCTAAGTCAGTATTTTTAGTTTTGTATTAGCATGTTCCCAATTAGAGATTCTCTAGCTCCACTAAATAGAAGAAGCCTATTTCCCACCACACCTTTCCTCAGTAACCTCCAGGGTGGAATCCTGACAGATATCATGCAGCTTGCCCTCAGATATTTAGAACAGATTCTTACTGTCTCAGAATTAGCCTCCCAGGATTGTGGAGACTTACTAAGTGTTACTATTTGGCAGATACTCAGTTCAGTGACGTCTAGTTTGGAAGGAGTATAAAAAGCTGAATCAAAAAGACCACTATATCTTTTAGGAGGCAAATGATAACACCTTGATAAAAGTGTTAATAGCTTCCTAATTAGTCTTCCTGGATCTCACAGGTTTTTTCCATGCTGTTAAGCCAGAAAAGCATTTCCCAAACCCCAGTCATTACTAAGTGCTCGTAGAGTAAGAAAGAGCTCAAGTCTCTTCTGAGTCTGGCCTCTGCTTTCTTCTCTGGCCTTGCCTTGCACCATGCTATCCGCTTGCTCTACGTTGCAGTTGGACTGCCCTTCTGCCTTCTGCACAGAGCCCCTTTTACTTTCCTTTGTGTTAGATTCACTTATTCCTTTGTTTGGAACTGAGTGTAAGCCTCACTCCCTCTAGTCCCAGCTAACTGGATCCATTTCCCCCTTTATTTATTCACTGTTCATGTACCGCTCCTTCATGACATTTATTTAACAAATTTGTTTAAGAACAGATGTTTGTCTCTGTCCTGCCGGAATTGTAAACATTCTCAAAGAAAAGGCTTTGTCTTTTTCTACTCACTTGTACTTTCAGTATGCATATATCTAGCATAGTGCCTGATAAATGTTTAGTAAAGATTACTGAATGTAAGAAAAATGTTTGAATGCATATGGCATAAATTCTACACCACCCTCAGACTGTGTAAGACTGTGTAGACTGTCAAAGATGCTCTGTCTTCATTCAGACGATCCCTTGGCATGTTCTTAAGTACTTTGCATTTTTGTAAAGTATCATCTTTGTCACTAGAGTCACTTTAGCACTTTTTGGTACATGGCATTATGTCAAGAATTGATTCATTTAGTCATTCAGTAAATGTGCATTGTCAGACATTGTGTTTGGCACTTAGATTGTAATGATAAATTAGGAGTCAGGCCTCAAGGTGAGCATAGACTAGTGAAGGAGAAAGACATGTGGGCCCGTTGTTTAGATTAGTGAGATAAGTCCTAGAAGAATATGGGTTTGTTTGTGACTCTAAGGGAAAGAAGACAGAAGGAAGAGCCAGTGTGCCTTCTTGAGTCAGAGATGATGACCTTGCAGAGGAAGTAATACCTGAGTAGGCTTTTGGAGAAGGAGGCAAAGGCAGAGTTTCTCAGTGTAGAGACAGAATATAGAAGAAGGGAACAGGAGATGTAGCATGTGCAAAAGCACTGGGGTGAGAAACACCTAGTATATTCAGGGAAGAGTAAGTTGTAAGGAATATGGGGAAGAAGAATGGGAAGTGAGACTAGAGAGGTGAATAGTGGTCAGGTCCCAAGGACTTTGATTACCTTGCAGTTATGCAACAGGAAACCATGAAAGATTTCATGCAAGAGAAGGACATGCTCACACTAATGATCCAGAGATAATTACAGAGGCTGCAGATAGAAAAAATAAGCATAGTACAGAAAGATGTAAATACAGTGGGGACAGTGAGTAATGTTTGATTGCAGTGATAAAATGGAATAACCAAAAATAAGAATCATGAGCAATACCAGTTTACCAGCATTAAATTAAAATCAATTGAAATGCAACTTGTTTCATTAGATATGTGTAGGAATACGTGCAGAGTGCTGCACAGTAAACTTAATTAAGCTAATCCTTTTTTTGTTTTTTAACTAGAGTTAATCTTAACAGGCTAAGCAGAAAAATCATTTTAAGAGCAGAGCAAAGAACAGCTTCAACAGTGCAGTACAAACCAAACTTCCAGAAAACCATAGCAGTGGACAGAAGAGCCTGGCATATAGTGATCAGAAAATCTTTAAGTGAGGATCTTCTATAGACTATGAAAAACATAGAGCATAAAGAAGCTCACATGCAAATTGTTCTCAGTTTTGAAAATAGTGGTAACAGCCATAACACAAAGGATAAGTTTCTGTTGTGTCCCTTGTTAGTGGCATAGCTGAGACCTTAAGCTATACACAGACTGGTCTTATTCTCACCCACACGTTGTGATCTGCCTGTACTATATGCCTTACACTTGCCAAAAAACAGGCAAGGATGGGTCACTAGAGGGAGGGGGTGGCGTACTGTATAGATTTCAGGTCTGTAGGGGTAAAGTCCATGACTTCTGATTTTACTCTTCCTGCTGCTAAAGTAAGGTAGCTCTTGGTAGTCCCCAGAACTGAAAAACCAAACATGTAGAGCTGCACACAGTAAATGATACAAATGAATTAAAAAGCTGACAGGCAAACATTTGTCTAAGATAACTCAAGAAAGTGAGGAACACCTAATAGTAAAAAAAAAAAGTTTTTTTTTTCTCTAGACCAAACAATTGAATATTTAAAAGCTTGTAAAATATTTTTTCTCCTAAATGAATTACAATTACCGGTTCTGTTGCTATTACACATAGAAAGGACTATAATTGGTGTTTATAAAAATCTTACTGTTTGGGTACATTTGAGTTACCAGACTGAGTATACATGTTCTTGATAACTTCCACCTCTAAAAATGCTAGGTTAAAATTAGTTGGTTAAAATGGTACAGACGGAATATATTGTAAGAAAAAGATGACAGGAATTTTCAGTATCAGTAGAGTCTGTTTTATTTCCATATACTGTTTCTTTAGCCTGAGAGACCTTTTATTTGCTCACAATGTGTTTGAATGTTTATTTAAGCATTTAAGAATTCTGTGGTGAATTCTATCCTATCCTTTAGTTTTTTAGCGTCTTAAAAGCTGATGCCTTTATGACTGAAAAATGTATGTTTTAGAATAAGCAACTCTCTCAGACATTTTCAACAGCTATAATAAACCTTGTTATGACAGTTAAAACCACAGTTGTGGCCTAGACCCATGTGGTATAACTAAGACAATTCTGAGGGTAAGCTAGGAATTTGAATTAACCTGACTTGAATCTGTCGTATTTTATACCCCCACTTTTGCGGGGGAGGGGATCATTTGAAACCACTGAGCTCTTAAAAAAGACACAAGACATAAAAAAGCATATACTGAGACATAAATCTAAGTGTATTTGTCTTAAGATTTCTTTTCCCCAGTCTGTTTTTTACAACCACCTTTCTTCCAATAACCCTACTGTTGGGCTCATCTTTTACAGTTAATCCCCTTTACTATCCACACCTTTGAAGTAGTAATTATAGGTAATCCATAGATGGCCAGTAGTTTAGGATAGATGGAACCAGTGACTCCCAGGGAGCACTGGTCAATAGCCCCAGGTTCTCCTCACAGACAGGTGTAGGAGGAGCACTGCAATAGGAATATGGACATTAGAGGAGGTTACAGTGAGGTTGCCCTGAACTTGAGTGGAGCAGTAGACACTTCCATACATCTAGGTGTGCCATCCCGTACAATCTAGTCTAAAGAATTTAAATCATTTTCCTTGGGGAGTGATTGTTTTTAATTGTTGATAACCTCTGGCTCACTGATTCTAAAAACTTTCCAATTAAATTAGCTGACATATTTAACCTGGAAGAAGAACGATAGGTTGTGAAGTGGAATAGAATATCAGAATACTAGCAGTGATTGATTTTTTTTACTTGATGACTAAAAACAGGTAGTAGGACATTTCCATGGCAGATGTGTCATATGGTACTTGTGTTTGTCCTGAGATTTAGTTAGAGGTTTCTAAAAGAATAGGTTGTGTATGCAGACTTTTACTTAAATACTATTTATTAAATCCATATGAATCCCGAGCCTGTGCCCCCAGAAAATGTGTGATTTGGTTAAGATCATACTAAGTTCATCTGATATAACTTACATTTGGGTGGAGAATTATTGGCAGTTCACAGTGGGGTGAAATTCTGTGAAGGACTGAAAGCTGAGAGTTTGGATTTAAAGCTGGAGCCAGTTGCTTACTGTACATTCTAAACTATGCAAATGTAGGAAGGAAGTGGGTTTTTAAAAATGTTAATTAGGCAGTTGGAGAGAGATGAGCATTAAGTCATGACTATAGTGGTAAGTATGGTATAAATGAGGACAGGTCTTTTTTGAGACTTACTTCAAAGAAATGCATGAGTTACTGTGTGAGTTTGAGCATGAGGGATAAGTGAATAAAGAGTCAGATTCTTAGGGGTTTGAGCCTGGGTGAATGAAGTTACCTGTGAAAGACCAAGGCTGTGATGTCAGTGTTCACGTGCACATTTTCTAGAATGTGGATGAAACTATGAGCGAAGATGAGCTGGAAGCAGCCAATAAACTTGGATGCCTTAAACAGTATACATTTAAAGTGATAAGGGTCTCTGATAGTGAAGGAATGGGAGCATACTTTGTAGAGAGGCAGCATGAAAACTACATTCTAAGCCATTACCTAAGAATGACTCAGTTGCCTTCTTGACTTGGATAGCCCATCCCGCTCTGGGAAAGCTTATCTGAAAATCCAGACTTAGAAAAGAAGATAAAGAATAATTGCATTTAAAAGGATTCTTCATTTTCAGCAGGGCTCATCATCAAGTTCATATCTAATAGCTGGACTTAACTAATTGAAAAGAAAATAAGATTTACTAAAATTTGGTTAACATCTACCCCTTAGGGCTATACTTACCGGAGCACCTGTATCCCAAGTATCTTTCTTCCGGAGCAAAATACACTATAGGGAAAATTGCTGATAAAATGCAGAATGTTAACAGTGAAAATCTCCTCAGTGGGGAAGAAATTAGGTTTTTAATAATCATGACAGTAGGACTGACTATATGTGTTTTCTGCACTATTTTATTCTTCATGACAATTCTTTGTTCTCCTCCTCCTTTGTAGGTGTATTTAGCCCGAAGGGAAGGATCATCTTATGCTTATATTTCCTGGAAGTTGGAGTGTGGGTCAGTTGGCCTAAAAGTAGATAGCATTTCCATTAGAACAAGTAGTCAAACCTTTCAGACTGGAACAATACAATGGAAATTGCGATCTGAAGCAGCCCAAGTAGAACTGTCAGGCGGTAAGCATTTGAATGGAGAATTAATCATGATGAGTATATTTAACACTCTGAAGAATAATGGTACTTATTTGAGCTTTTCATACCCAAGAGTCATTCATATAACTGCAGAAAAAAAAATTAAAATTAAAATCTCTATAACCTCTTCTAATAGAACTGTTTGTTTTTATTGTGAAACACAAATGGATGAAGAAAAGTCATTTCTTTGTTTCAAAAGACATATTTCCTCTGTAAGGAATAATTTGTATTTATTTTTTTAAGAGTTGATTTTACCTACAGGTTAGGTATAAAATACGTATTCCAAATCTATCTCTTTATATTCTTTAAGTTACTAAAAGCGAAGTGTTAATTATTTTTTTTCCTCCAACAGACAAAACTCTTCGCCCCTATCATGATTTTTCTGGTGCCACTGAAGTTATTTTGGAAGCAGAATTAAGCAGAGGAGATGGTGTTGTTGCTTGGCAACATACCCAGCTGTTTAGACAAAGCTTAAATGACCATGAAGAAAATTGTTTGGAGATAATTATAAAATTCAGTGACCTTTGAGAACCTGAACATTATAGAAAAGCTGGCAATAATCAAGGACTTACCATGTTCTAAAGTAGTCTGTTGGTTCAGTGCATGCTTAGTTGGCAATTTACTACCCTCTGCTAGCATATTTCTTTTGCTGGCTATCCATCATGTACCCCTCATGAAAATATATCTTTATACTATGGACCATAATGAAACCTTGAATCAAAAGCTCCCTTCCATATGTGACTGTAATTTGAAGTAAAGTCTTACTGCCTCAATATGAGATTTTAATCTAAAACTGTAAGTATAATTTTAAAAGTAAAATGAAGGTATTCATGATGAAATGCTATTCATGATTATGATATAATCTTAAGCTAATAATAGTAATATGTTTTTTGATCAGCCATTAATTTCTTCATAAGTAATTAGATTTCCAAAGATTTTTAATTTTTAATAAATGTGAAAGTATAGTATCTCATGAGTTATAATGCATGAACATTTTTATGATTGTACATACATAGATATTTAAGAAATAAAATGAATTATTTTGCCTTATATCATTTTAGTGTTTACTTTGGCTAAATAAGAATCTTTAATAAAGGTATGCTAAATATTGAAGACTGTTGGAATAGACGAATGTTAGGAAAACATTTAACATTGACTGTGTATATTCAGAAATACATTATAAATCCATGTGTGGACATTTCAGAATATGCTTTACTTTTGAGTTTACTTTTGAGTATTTCTATCTACCTCACTGAATAAAGATCTGTTCCTGTCTTTGAAACTATGTAACTAGATTCTGTAGTATATGCTAATCAAGAGTTTTTGGTGTGTCCATATAACCTCCCCAGTTGAATTTAGTGAACATTTAAGTATTTGTGTTCAAGCATTGTGATAGCACCAAAGGAGGCAAAGGTTAGAAGGGCACAGTTCTGTACTCTCACTCTTTGTGAGGTTCTACAAAGTGAGTTCTTAACTCTTCATACAAAAAAAGTACGTTCTCAGAGATTCTTACCCTGTGCAACTCCATAAGATATTCATGTGCATTTAAAAAAAAAAAAAAAGATGCACTAAGATGCTGAACAAAATTCTTATATTTGCTTTTTAATTGTAATCAAACTGTTGATCAGTTTCTTGCTAAAAAGTTACATTTCAAAAAAATTTTCCTGCATCTAAAGGTATGCGTCTTAATATTAAAAAGGTTTCTGGAATTCTCCTGCGTTAATCATAGCTTCATATAGTGGCCAAATACATAAAATTGGAGAGCCTTGACTCTATCTGTCTTGAGGTGTCTGGTATTGGCACAGGAGTATTGTGATTGAGCAGGTGGCCCAACCTTCCTAACCTCATGAGAAAAACCTAGAGACTGGCAAGCATAAAGATGTAAGAAAAATGTCAATCTCAACTGAATGTACCTCATCTGTGAAAAGAGTACATTCTAATTTTTACTGTGGCAGTAAGCAGAAAAATGATTAGAGTTCAAATGTCTTATTTTTATAGACGTGAAACGTTGAAAAGTGGTTGCACGCTTTTCTTAAGTGTATTCCATGAGAGTCTCAACCCCAAGGGTACCCAATACATAATAATAGATTTTTTTATTACACAGAAAATGTTGGCAATAGTACAGAAATCATGGAGCAAAGCAATTCTCGGTAACGTATAAAGCTAAGTGCCAGTAAACTGGTAAGGCCAAAGGAATAGGTAAGGAAGGGCTGATAGGAGAGCCCGCCTCAGACCGACACTAGTATCAGAGCACAGTTTGTGTAGCCATCCTTTAGGATCCTCTCGCTTAGAGGCGTACATGGTGTGCTGTGCTGAGAGTGACTCTGCCAGGGTAGGGCGGGCGTAACTGCACCACCTTCTGGAAACAGGCTCTGTCTGGTTGAGGAGCTTTCTACTGCCATTGCTCATTGTTTAAAAAGGCTGTTTACTCTGGCTTCAGTTCCGGTCCCATCATGGTAGTTTTACAGCCTGCTTTCTGTTACAGTGAGTTTGGGTAGAGGGTGGTTTAAAAAAGAACTTGTGCTGGAATTCACATTCTCAAGATGAACAAGAAGCTACAACTGATAAAATTGTGAATTTTATCAGTTTGCAAGGAAAAGAAGTGCCTCATGTTGAAGGAGGCTTAGAGAACCATTTATCATGGACTTTTGGAATAGGAAGCGTTGTTGGTGATCATTTCACCCGGAATCCTCACTTTTCACTGAGGAAACTCAAACCCAGAGAAGTTAAATGACCTGTCTAAACAAGGAGTTGCTGTTTCAGTGAGTGTTTCATGAATATAGATACTTCTATAGGAATGTTCAAGTTGAGGTGTTAAAATTGATACTAGAATCAGTGATTTTTCTACCTATAGGTAAGCTTTCCTGGAGAACAAATTTATTGTACTTTTATGATGGATTGTCTAGATGTGGTTGCTTTGGTGTTTGTGTAATAATTTTTAAAAGACTTTTTTTCCTCTGTAACAATAAATTGTATGTTGATTTTATAGTCCAAGTGAATACACTCTTCTAAGCTAGTAACTGACTCAGGTGGCATTCCTTCCTTAAACACTCCTGGGGGAAAAAGAACAAGAATAAAGCAACACAAGTCATGATTGGTTTTACCCCACTTAGCCTGTATTACAGTCACATCTTTGTATGGACCAAAACAGTGCTTTATTTCTAATAAAAGATTTAGAATGGACCTAAGCTAATAATGGTCACCTTTGTAGTGTCTAATGAATGTCAATTACTTCGGTGTTTCATTCGATCATAGTGACCTTGTATGTATTTTGAAACTGAGAGGCTAAGAGGAGCCAGCAGTATTTCATTGCCATTCCCTGTCATTGCAACACCACAAGTAAATACAGACTCAGAAGTTCAGACCTTTCTCTCTTCTCTTAATTTGCTAAAGACTTGCTCTGAGATCAACACAACTGTAGCAACAACTAGAAATCTGTAAGTAAGCCAGAGAGGGCCTCAGAAGAGCTAAAACAAATATAATGAAGTCTAACCACTAAAGCCCATATTCTTTATTATGAGAGTGCATTTTGGGTAGTCTCTCAAAATCTGTTATTTACTGATTTTAAATGTTTAAATTGTTAAAACCATTTTTATTAAAAAATTCAAACTCGACAATAAAGTAAAAGTGCTCCCCACACTACACCTGTTTACAGAAGTAACTGCCAAAATGTTTACATGTGTTTTTCCAGGGCTTTCCTAGAAATTCTTATATTCATGCATGTACACGTGCACACAAAATCAGTTTCCATGTATTTGGTTTTTGTCTTTTTATGTAAATGGAAGTGTATTTTTTTTTCTGCTTGTTTTCTTAACAAGGTGTCTAAAGAAGTCTTTCCATGGTTGGCAATAAATCTGCCACATTCTTTGTAACTGCCTCTCAGTATTCCTTTATCTAGTCCCTTATTTACAGATATTTAAGTTTTCTCTTTTTTGTTATTTCAAACACTGTGCAGTAAACATCAGTATACATATTTCTTTCACACAGGATATATGCAAAGATGGGCATTTTTTTTTTAAAGATTTTATTTATTTATTTGACAGAGAAATCACAAGTAGACAGAGAGGCAGGCAGAGAGAGAGGGGGAAGCAGGCTCCCTGCTGAGCAGAGAGCCCGACGCGGGGCTCAATCCCAGGACCCTGAGATCATGACCCGAGCCGAAGGCAGAGGCCCAACCCACTGAGCCACCAGGTGCCCCAAAGATGGGCATTTTTTTTTTTTTTAAAGATTCTATCTATTCATTTGACAGACAGAGATCACAGGTAGGCAGCGAGGCAGGCAGAGAGAGAGGAGGAAGCAGGTTCCTTGCTGAGCAGAGAGCCCGATGTGGGGCTCGATCCCAGGACCCTGGGATCATGACCTGAGCTGAAGGCAGAGGCTTTAACCCACTGAGCCACCCAGGCGCCCCAAGATGGGCATTTTTAATCTCAACCTGTCTACTGTCCCATCATTTCCTAAAGGAGGTACATCAATTTACACACTCAGTGATAGTGTATGAGAGCACCCATTTCCACCCTTTCTTGCCAAAACCAAATATTGCAGTTGCTGTAGCCAGCTTCCAATGATCCTCACCTCCTGGCTTTCATGTGTTTGTGTTGTCCCTTCCACACTAGATTAGAGCTGGCCTGTGTGTCTAATAGAACATGGTACAAGTGACCACATGATATTTCTGAGGCTTTGTCATAAAAAACCTTGCTTATATTGCTTACTCTGGAGAAATCCATTGCCGTGCCCTAAGGCCACTCCCGCAGGTCTGTGGGGAGGACCTGAGGCTACTTGCAACCTCAGCACCAACTTGCCAACCATGGAAGTGGATTCTCCAGCCCCAGCCAAACCTTCAATGACTAGCTTCATGAGAATGAGACACCGCACGATGGAAATGCCAAGCAAACCACTACTGAATGCCTAATGCCCAGAAAACCATTACAGCTAATTGATTTTTAAAAAGACACTTTGGGAGTGGTTTGTATGTACAGCATTAGATTACTGTTAAACCCCTCAATGTGGTAGTATTAGCAGGGGAGGCCTTGGGGAAATAATTAGGTTATGAAAATGGAGCCATCATAAATGGTATGGGTGCCCCAAAGAGCGTTTGCTTCTCTCTGGTTCCCACAATGTGAGGACACGAGGTCTATCTATAAACCCAGAAGAGGCCTTCATCCAGAACCCAACCCAATTTCAGACTTCCAGCTTCCACACTGTGAGAAATAAAGGTTTGTTGTTGAAGCCTTTTGGTCTATGGTAATTTGTGACTACAGCCCAAACTAAGGCAATTAGTAAAATAGCAATGTTATATATATTTTTTTAATTTTTATATATTTATTTGACAGAGATCACAAGTAGGCAGAGAGGAGGAAGCAGGCTCCCCGCTGAGTAGAGAGCCTGATGCGGGGCTCGATCTCAGGACCCTGAGATCATGACCCAGGCCAAAGGCAGAGGCTTAATCCACTGAACCACCCAGGTGCCCCAGCAATGTTATATTTGACAATCTCGTGGATGAAAACTATCTAGCTTTGGGTTACATTTCCTTGATTAGCTGTGAGGTTAAACAATTTTTCAAGTGTTTATTAGCCATTTTTGTTATTTAAGTTTTCTATGTACAGGCGTACCTTGTTTTATTGCACTGTGCTTTATTATGCTTTGCAGACATTGCATTTTTTACAAATTGAAGGTTTGTGGCAACCTTGCTTCCAGCAAGTCTTATCAGCTCCATTTTTTCAACAGCATTTGCTCACTCTGTGTCTCTGTGTCACCTTCAGGTAATCCTGGCAATATTTCCAGCTTTTTCACTATTACTATATTTGTTATGGTGATCTGTGATCAGTGATCTTTGCTGTTACGGTTGTAATTGCTTTGGGGTGCTGTGAACGGCACCCGTATATAAGACAGCAACCTAACAAATGTGTGTGTTCTGACTGTTCTACCAACCAGCTGTTCCCTTGCCTCTCCCTCTGCTTGGGCCTCCCTATTCCCTGAAACACAACAATATTGAAAGTAGGCCAATTAATAACACCGCAATAATGGCCTCTTAGCTGTTCACATGAAAGGAAAAGGTGCACATCTCTCATTTTAATCAAAAGCTAGGGCGCCTGGGTGGCTCAGTGGGTTAAGCTGCTGCCTTCGGCTCAGGTCATGATCTCAGGGTCCTGGGATCGAGTCCCGCATCGGGCTCTCTGCTCAGCAAGAAGCCTGCTTCCCTCTCTCTCTCTCTCTCTGCCTGCCTCTCCGTCTACTTGTGATCTCTCTCTGTCAAATAAATAAATAAAATCTTTAAAAAAATAATAATAAATCAAAAGCTAAAAATGATTAAGCTTAGTGAGGAAAGCGTGTCAAAAGCAAGGATGGGCTGAAAACTTGGCCTCTTATACCAAACAGCCAAGTTGAGAATGCAAAGAAAATTTCTTGAAGGAAATTAAAAGTTCTAATGAACACACGAATAATAAGAAAGCAAAACAGCCTCATTGCTGATAAGGAGAAAGTCTGAGTGGTCTGGATAGATCAAAGTAACCACACTACGTTCCCTTAAGCCAAAGTCTAATCCAGAGCAAGGTCCGAGCTCTCCTCAATTCTGTG